ACCATTTCTGTAGGACATTCTCATATCCACAACATAGGTATGCGCCAGACAGCCTGCAGCTGAGATCACAGTTGCTAGAGTGCTATTCGTGACATTGGCACAACTTATTATTCTTGTTAATTATTAATCATTACATTAATATTAATACTATCAGCGGTAGTGCTGCTGATAGTACTACTGAATTAGTGTAGAAATTAATATTCTAGTATTGTAATGAATATTCTAGTGATGAATATTCTAGTATCACCGATATTGTTGATAATATGATTAGCATTTTGCAGTATGAGTAGCTGTAGTAGTATTATTATTAGTTTAACAGTATTTGGTTCGTTAAATTTGGTTATGGCAATTTTATTACTGCAAACGATGTTACTACTTATACTTAATTAGAGCGTTGGTGTTATTTGGCGGTTAGTAGCATTAGTGAAACTAATTTACTGCTAACTACAAATCACATCTTAAATTGTACTATTAACAGCCTAAAACTGCAGGTTGTCTGACCCGTGATAACCTCTATTCTAACCTTTCTGCTTTGAATGGGAATGTCTTGATACTTTAGGAATTTTAAACTATGGCATAGATTGTGCAGCTTTCCCTAATCTGACTGAAGATTAAGCGTTTTCATGCGCCTATTAGGATGTTGTTCTGTCATCATTATTTGAGGTCAATAGAGCTTAAGTAACAGAGTGATCCAATATCCAGGTTTACGACAACGCCTTATCGTGAGAAATTGTATTTCAGATTGATATTAGGCTAGGTTCATTGCTCTGGAAAAGTTCAGAAGTATTTTTCATTGCAAGCAATTTTGCCTCATCGAGATTTTTACAAGGTTTGAGTTGTCAATAAATTAAAATGAACTTATTTAGATATCATGCAAAGCGATAAGTAATATATTGTTTTGCGCTCGTCTCAAATATTTTTAAATATGTTTATTGATGTAAACTCTATTTTTATGAAACTGTTTTATAGGGTTGAAAAATATCGACCGAAACTGCTCTCAGAGGTCGTCGGTAATGAATTTGCCGTCAGCAGATTGGCAGCATTTGCAGAACAGGGCAATCTTCCGAATATCATCCTTACGGTATGAATTTTGTCCTATGGAATAATGTAGTGACATTGACGTTTTTATGGCCCCCCTGGTATCGGTAAGACAACCAGCATCATCTGTCTTGCTCGGCAACTTTTGGGCCCAGCATTCAAAACGGCTGTGCTGGAATTAAATGCTTCCAACGATAGGTATATTTGTTAGTTAGGCACCTTCCTTCAACCCGCCCCAAAACATTATTCAGTTTTATTTAGAGGCATCGATGTGGTTCGAAACAAAGTGAAGATGTTCGCTCAGCAACGCGTCACTCTGCCCCCGGGCCGACACAAGATTATAGTCCTGGACGAAGCGGACAGCATGACTGATGGCGCACAGCAAGCATTGCGCAGGATTATGGAAATTTATAGCAATACTACACGTTTCGCCCTCGCTTGCAACCAGTCGGATAAGATCATAGGTAACTCGTTGTGATAACCATTTGTAGCCGAAATATCAAGGGTCCTCAGCAACAGGGATGATATTTTTGTCTACTGATATCAGTATAAATTCAGTTGCTTTAAGTAGTGCAAATGATAGCAATGGGGCGGGGGTCTTTCGGGTCTTCAGAATACTGAACTTTGGGAATTAGAAAAAATCGTGTAAATTCTTTATTTGTCTGCAAGGCAGCCGTGACACTAGTTACGATTAAACACAGCAGCAAAAAGTGTTTTGAACAATATTTTTCTGCATTCGTTTTTATACACCCGGGGCTTCTGGCGAAGCATGATTTGGCTTTTGAGAAGCATCAACATGCTTGATCAACCATTAAAAGGTTAAGAAGCATTTCATAGTTGTAGGTGCTTCTAAAAAACTTCACGGGAATATATACAGTGATTTTTGATTAAAGTTTACAGTTATTCGCATAACTTAAATCACTTGGACTGGCAATTGGTAATCCGCAAGGAATCGGGTCAGTCGCAACACTCCCCTATCCGCCGATGTTTCCTCACGGTTTCGAGCTTTCTCCTTCAAAATACGGTGTTTCTCGCCCCTGATATAAACTTCCCACCATCGGAGTAAGCGACCAAATGGCATAATTAGCCTAAAAGGGTAGAAGTCAGTGATCTTCGTCGACTCTCCCCCGTCGGTGAACCGAAATTACTTTCCTGGCTTACTGTAGCTTCTCCTTTCTGCTTTCGACGACGACGCTCTTCACTCCCGTCTGATCGCCGTGCTGGAGATATGGTGGTAGCGTGATATTCCTAACATTCTTCTCTCCACGGCTCCCTCACTGAAAGAAAAGATATCTGGCGCTCCTTGGCTTTAGTGAGTGACCATGCCAAACAGCCAGACAACATTGCCAGTAGAATGATAGAATTGAGGATTTGGATGTTGGTGTTCTTCCCGACGTCGTCCGTGAGGATGTCCTCGGTGGAATGGAACGTGCGTCAAGTGGACCCTTCTGGAATTTATCGAACCTGGTCATGCCATGTGCTGATCTATTGGCTCAGGTAACTGTATTTATCAACGTCTTCGATCGTTTTGCCCCTTTAATTTTACCTGGTCCTTCAGAACGTCACCCAATCACAGTGTCTCACTCGCTTTTATGCACTTTTCCTGTCGAGATCTTGCAGCATGCCTTGTTGTGGACTGGCGCGTTCCATAAACAGCACCAGTCATCAGTGAACCTTAGATGGCTGAGCTGTTCCCCACTGGTGTTATTTCTGCCTTTCTACTTCATCCTTCGAAACACCGTTTCCAAACAAGCAGTGAGAAATTGTGCGTAATGTGTGTCACTTTGTTTTACACGCTTCTCTACGGAAACCCGGGGGGGGGTATCATAAAGTTTATGAAGCATCCTTGGCTCGCTTCCTTTACTAGATTGATGTAACAGGTTTCGGTGCTTTGTTCTGCTAGTGCAGTCTATAATGCGTTGTGTTCGACAGTGTCGAACGCTTTCTTGTAATCGATGAAGGCGAGGCGCAGAGGTAGTTTATATTTTCTCACGTGCTTGAGGAGTTGATCTGAAGTAAATATGTTGCCCGTTGTGTTGTGGCTTTTTCAGAATTCTTCTTGCTCTTCTGGCTGCTGTCCATTCGCACTTATAAGTGATAGTTTACTTAACATGTATTTTTTTCTCATTTAATTATTTAAGTAGTTGAGTTCAAATTAAGGAAATGCTAACCATTGTTGAATGTGGAGCAAGGTTTACAACAATCTAGCATCTCGGAGGAACGAACCACCTGTGGGTAGGTTCAAACCTAGTGTTGTTATGCTCCCATGTTTGAACCACGAGGTCTATTTCGGTGCCGTGGGCGTAATTGTTCTTGATGCATCTGGATATTCAAATTGCAACAGTATGCTAATAAGGTTGTTACGCAAGACGGACGCGAATTCAACCAGTATTCTTTTTTGACAATTTAATCATGTAGCGGAGGGAGCCATGATAATCTGATCTTTTACTACTTTCTGTCTATTAATCTTGCTTTTTGCCTTTTCCACCGTGACTGCTTTTAAAGTCTTTTTTCACCATTTCGTCTTGTCGGACGATGGTGCCTGTATCCAACTGTATGACATGGTTTCCGCAACAACAGAGCCCTTGTCGTCTGCTCTGCTGAGACATGCCATGTATTCAATGATCAGGTTCGTCAGCTTTCTACCGGTTTTTCCCATGTAGCCTTCTCCGCACTAGTGGTTTATCTGATATGCTGTTACGGCATCCTCTTGTCTCGTTATTATTCCTTTCTTGTGTTGGAGGCTGTAAGGCTGGTTTTGAGAATCTCCAATCCGTGGTTACCCCTGCCTGGTCATGAAGCGCTTGATTCTTTCAATTGAGTTCTTCCGGTACCAGGTGATTGGGAAAAGGCGGTTTTGAAAATCTTCTCTGGTGGTTGTAGTTCCTTTTAAAACTGTTTTCATCTCTGAAATTAAGTGAATTATTATCGAACCGGTGGTTTTATTTTTCAAAACGACTGTCAGTATTGAGAGATTGTAGGTCAAATAATTTCGTAGTATCAGCGCATCGATTACTAACTGACAACTTAACAAAAAACCCGCAATTTATTTGGATGAGATAAACGCAAAAGCTCTTGCTATTGCAGTAGGTTCAGCTGATAGATCACATTTTTAATCAAATTTTGAAGATTTATGAAACGAGTTTCGTAACATTTGTAAAATGGAAGTTCTTTTCTTCGCCTTTGCCTTAGTCTTATAAATTACCAGTTCCTTAGCCGCTTCTTAGTTATTTTATTTTGTTCAGGAGGCGGGAGGTAGATATTGAACACAAATTTTAATATGGATGACAAATCAAATGATGTTTCGTAAATGGACCAGGGCTGACAAAGGGTAAAGGTCACTAACTTATAATGATAGTTAGGTCATTGTAGTTTTTCATTTGTTTTTTTTTATTCAAAGGATAGCCTGGCTCTACAACTTTTGTAAGCTGAAGTTTCAGATTTCAGATCAAGCGGAGTAAAATGGATTTTATATGCCGTTATTGTGTGAACTTTGTTGTTTCTTGCAGAACCCATCCAGTCACGATGCGCGGTGGTTCGATTTAGCAAGCTCGCTGATGCTGAAATTTTGGCGCGGTTGCTAGAAGTGTGCAAAAGTGAAGGAGTGACGTACACGGATGAAGGTTTAGAGGCCGTGATCTTTACTGCCCAGGGCGATATGCGTTACGTAAGTGTTAAAACGAACTTCTGATTTTACCGTAGCATGTACTGTTGACATTCAGGCGTTGAACAACTTACAGTCTACGGCTACTGGTTTTGGTATGGTGACGGCTGAGAACGTCTTTAAAGTAAGACCTCGTTTGATGATCAACAAATACTATGCGCTTAAACATTCTGCCCTCATAGATTTGTGACGAACCGCACCCGTTTCTTATCAAAGACATGTTTGATCATTGTGCAAAGTGCAACATTGACGAGGCGTATAAAATTATTCATCACCTAGTGAAGCTGGGATACTCAGCAGAAGACATCATACGAAGTATTTCTCGTGTCTGTAAAACGCATGACATCGATGAGTACCTGAGACTGGGATACCTCAAGGTGTGTGATTTTGTTTAAATTTTTCAGATTTATTTTAATTTAATTTAATTTACAGAATCGCTTTTTACATTGACATGAGAGTCATTACGTTAGGGTCAGCTTTCAGGGAGTACTTTTTTAATACATACATGTTCAATGGCATCAACCTAAGTTTCGTTTGACGCAAGCTCACCGGCGCGTTGTACTGTTGGAACCTTTGCAGACTCGTCCATTCTCTACTTGTTTCCTGTTGAGTTGCATCATATCACAGTAAAGTGAATCTTTTG